CATTCATTCACTGTGGTTTTATTGAGTACCCAGTAAACGCATCAACCAAGGTATTGGAGACCTAGAGGAAGATTCTGCCTCTGCCCTCTTAGAATTTATAGTCTAGTGTGGAGCAGACACATGGTGGATACATAAGTAATTACATAAGTGTAACAATTACAGAATGTGGTAACTGTCACGATGCACACAACAGAGTAGGTAGGGTTGGGGCCTTTTCCACTGGAGGCAAAGAACCACCCCTGGGAGAGCTTAAGAACTAAAGTGTGCTTTAGAAGAGGCCGCAGCTGGTGTCTGATAGATGCCAAGAACATAAATATGCAGCACTTAGTGTATTTGATGGCTAAATATGTGCCCTCTGCATCAAAGAATTAGAATGTTGTGAAAGCCCTTAAGGCTCCAGTAGTTGATAATTGTGTGAATAGGAACAGGAAAAATACGGCAGAGTTAATTTATGGAATAAATAGATATTATTCCTTGATCACTTAACATTTATCAGCACTGTGTTTTGTTTTTGTTTTTTTTTTTAATGCAAACTGGCTTGAAGAATGCTTCAAAGAAATACAGGCATGATAATTATATTTTGCCATTCATAAAAAATAATTTAATTAGTATTGTATGCAATTTTTATCAAGCATGTGAGACATACATGTGGAACAAAATACCTTATGTTATCTTTTCATTGTTAACAGCAGTGCATATTTTGGTAAAAGAATAAGACAGACATTACAGAAATTAGTTGCATGTTCAAAACCTCTACATCAGACATTTAAAATGTATCACAGGGGAAGGACACACATAGTTATCAGATCACATGATTTCTTTGTTTTTGCTAGTTGAACCTTCCTATTTTTTGTTTCTTAAAACTTACCAGTAGATAATGTTCCTTAAATAAAAATACCTGAAATAGATAGGCACAAAAAGCAGAATCAGATTTACAGCACAAATGTTAGACCTAAGTCTCTTTCAAGCGAATCTAATTCATCCATCCATCTAGCCATCTATTCAATATTTATTGAGTCTACAGCACTAATAGGTAAAATGTGCTGGAGCCAGAGCAATATATTGGGTTATGTTAGCTCCATGACTGGGTGAATTCAGGGATTCTTTTACCCTCTACACAGTTACTATATCAATATTCTAAAAGGAAGATAAGTAGAAAAATGTGGCTAGAGAGCCTTAAATAAAAAATCAATTTAAAAATATCCAGACTAACAGAATCCAGGGGAAAAAATACATGGGAAAAGTTCCCTTCAGGGCTGAAGGACTTGTTCCCCAAATGCTGGGAGAAGGCTCTCAGCAATTATTAAAAAAAACCAAAAAGGTAACCCACTAAAGGTCACACCTGCACTTTGGGCAGCTCTCGCCCAGTGACAGCTTGATGGAGGGGATGCAAAGACCCAGTCCTCTGACCTCATCACAGGACAGTTCTGAAAAGTCTTGCCTCAGTATTCCTTGCATTTTGACAGGTTTTTGCTAACTACCTCACTGCTGCATTTTCTCAGTTGGTCTAATCCTGTCCCTGCCTTCCACTGAGTGGTTAAACCTAAGGATACTCTCTAATTCAAATCCTGTGTGCTAATTACCATCTCAGGTATTGCTCCTGTGACAATATGTCTGTAAGATATGGACATTCAACAATGTGTCAGTGTTCTTTTTAAGATCTGTACAAGTCTGCTCTTTTGTCACCAATGTAAACTGCTTCCTTTCTCATACTCCACATGAAGCTACTCGATATTATCAAGTATATTATTATTTAGAAGCGACTCATGGTTAAATAAATAAATAAATAAAAGAAGTGACTGGTGGTGAGGCGAGGATGCTGCATCAAGCCTAGCAGTCAAGATGGCTGCATCTCACATGGGAGTGCCTGGGTTCAATTCCTACCTCCGGCTTGTGATTCTGGCTTCCCAGCAGTGCAGACCTGGGGAGGCAGCATGATGGCTCAGATCATCGGGTTCCTGCCACCTGCAGGGGATATTTGGAATATGTTCTCAGATCCTGGCTCCAGCCCCAGATGTTATGGCTTTGTAGGGAGTGAAACAGCTGATAGGAGCACACACTCTCTCTTTCTGTCCTTCATGCCTCTTTTTTTTTTTTTTAAGATTTATTTATTTATTGGAAAGCCAGATATACAGAGAGGAGGAGAGACAGAGAGGAAGATCCTTCGTCCGATGATTCACTCCCCAAGTGAGCCGCAACGGCCAGTGCTATGCTGATCCAAAGCCAGGAACCAGGAACTTTTTCCAGGTCTCCCACACGGATGCAGGGTCCCAAAGCTTTGGGCCATCCTCGACTGCTTTCCCAGGCCACAAGCAGGGAGCTGGATGGGAAGTGGAGCTGCTGGGATTAGAACCGGCGCCCATATGGGATCCCGGCACGTTCAAGGCGAGGACTTTCGCCGCTAGACCACGCCGCCGGGCCCCCTCATGCCTCTTAACTAAATTTTTAAAAACAAATTATGAGAGGCAGAGCTTCCTTCTTGGCCATACATTTGGTTGGTGAAGAATTTTTTTGGTACTGTTTCAGGACCAAGTACAGATTGTCTCCCAGCTAGTTTCATACATAGATTCATTAACTCAGGTGGGTTAGGCGTTGTAGTTCCTATACCCATAATCCTAGCCTTAGATTCAATGGTTTTAATTCCTGTCTTTTCTTTCTGCCTTGAACACCTTCAAATATGGCTTTAATTTCATCAAAACTGCTTTGCTTTTATCAGGGCTGGCATTGTAGCACAGTGAGTTAAACTGCAACTTGTGACAGTAGCATGCTATATCAAAGCATTGGTTCAAGTCTCAGATGGTATGCTTCCAAACCCAGCTTCCTGCTAATGTACCTAGAAAGGCATCAGATGATGGACCAAGTACATGTGTCCCTGCCACCCATGCAGAAATGCAGACGGAGTTCCTGCCTCCTGGCACATCCCTGCCTGTTGTAGGCATTTAGAGCGTGAACCAGCATATGGAAAATGTCTGTTTCTCTCTCCCTCACTCCTTTCTTCTTTTTTCTTCCCTCTCTCTCCTTCCCATGCCTTTCAAAGAAATAGTCTTTTTTTTTTTTAATGCCTTGTCCAGCTCACCAGTGACTTCCACCTTGTTTAACACAATGATTCTCAGCTCTCCCCTCACTGAGCTGCTGGCAGCATTGGTGTCATTGGTCCCTCTCTGTTCCCAAGGATTGCCATTTGACTTTCAAGATGTTGCACTTACTTAGATTGTCTGAACCTGACTGATGCCTTCCTCTCTTCCTACACTGCTTCTTCCCAATCTTGATGGGCTCTTAATATAGGAAAATCCCCAGATGTTGTCATTGGACCTGTTGTCTTTTCTGTCTTTATTCCTTCTCATAATGATTCCAGTCTGATGACACATTCCAAAGTCTGCTTCCTCTGGTCAGACTCTCAGATCCAGCTGCATACTCAACAGCCTCCCTGGGATGTCTCACAGATATCTCAGACATTCCAAAATTGAGCTCACCTGCCCCAGAATCTGCCTCTGTCACAGTCTGTCCAGTTTGGTAAGACAGTCCCACACAGCTAGTTACTCGCACCACGGCCTTTGCTGTCTTCTTTCCCTGCTCTCGGCCTCTCCCATCCACCTCCAGTCTGTCAGCAGATCTGCTTACTCCACATTCAGAATATATACCGAATCTGAGCACTTTCCACTTATCACTGCCACCAGCTGGAGCAATTACTTAACGCCTAGATTTCTCTCTTCTCAGCAGTAACTTACAGGTTCATGGGTGGAGTAAAGAAAATGATATATGTGAAGAACTTAGCATAGCTGAGCAGACAGGGCTCAGTAAATGCTAGCTTGCATTAGTTGTTTTAAGTTTAAAGGAGATTTGTGATTTTTTATTTTTAGGGAGATTTGGATGATAAAATTGTGGCCCCTTTTCATAAAAACAGATGATAAGAAAGCTGAATTATATTATGCAACATGTGAAATTTCTATCTTAAAAATTTTAACTAGATGGTTGAAACAATGTGATACTGGCTGATGCCTTCACTTCTGAAATAAAGGCAAGTCAGAATTAACTTTACCAGTGACTATCACAGATAACATCAGAAAGGTTTTGTAGCACAGCAGATTAGACAATTTTGTTATCCTGAGAAAGATTAATTTCAGTTAACCAGAAAGATTTGGCCTAGAAAATGGCCCTAGTGGAAGGATTTATGACATTGTTACATGTATTGCTCAGCTGTGGACAACACTAGCTTCGTGGCCTCAAGCTTGGGGATGTGGGAAACACATAAGATGGCAGCACTCTTATAAAAGCTATAGCATGATTAAATCTGTCATTCTAACTAAGTAATAGATAGAAGGACTCCAGAAAATCCCCAATAGTATAATCCTAAGTGTCAGCAATATTCAGTAGGCCTGAATTACATAGGAAGCATCTCAGGTGAGTATGTAAAAGCATAAATTAGAGACATGGGTATTGCTAATAAGTAGGATAAACCATTGCACCAAATAAGCAGAAAAGTATTCTCAAAACATTTGACTTAATATTTAGCACAATTACTTTGTTAATGTATGTGGTAAGAAAGTGTTGAGATATTTTTTTTAAATCATCTTACATTCGTGTTTCTAAGACTGATCAAATTTTTTCTTTAAATCTCTCAGTATGAAACAATCAGTGGTGAATTGTTTTGTTATAAACCTTGTAAAGTTATTTTGATTCTTTTGCACATAAAAGCCAGGTAATAATGATCCTGATGTGTTTTAAGAGTGGGGGAAATAACTTTTAGGTGAAATCATTGGGAATCAGCTATGCTTGTGTTTAGCTTTTGTTTGTTCATATTTAATCATAATTATATAAATATATACCTTGTGATATTTTTAGAATACTTGTAGGTGATATAGACATATATATATAATTTATTATGTCATATGTGAATGTTGATTGATGAATTTCCATAAATACCTGTTGTGACATCATTTTTGCTGAACCACATATACTTCATATGCTAATTTAAATTATTATTATTTCTTTTTTTGTAGGAAATCCTGGCTGAGCAAGGTTGGGAGTCCTAGTTCTCGCATTGACCGCACAGATTTTTCTAATGAAAAAACCATCTCTAAGCTTGAGTACTCCAATTTTAGCATTCGATACTGACGGGAAAGAAATGCAGGTTATAATACTGTGTTGTATTGTAACATAGACACCATATATGCTTAGTCTACACCATAGAATAATAGTAGCAAAGTAGGATTTAAAAAAGGAATGTTTGCCTCTGAAAGATATTAAGTTATATATTACTAACAATGTCTGACACAAATGATTTTGCTCAATTATGTTTTAGTAAACCAAAACTATTCTGATATTTAAAATGTCATCATAAGATATTTAATATATGAGTATTTCAATTTAAGCTTGCCTTGCTGAATTTTTAATTTCAATCGATATTATAGTATACATGTTATTTGGCTAAATGTAAAATAATAGCTAATCATTTAAAATTCTTTATTTTTATTTGCAGCGAATTTAAAAATCTGAATGTTATCAAAGTCTTGAAGAAGACCAAAAGTTAGAAATAAATGTGTATGATGAACAATATAACCATAAGCTAATGCCAATAAAGTTAATATTTTAAATTCTGGTTATATGTGAACCTGTTTCAGTACTTACATGGGAGGTACTTAATATCACCAGTGAATATTCCGGTTGAGTAATGGCAGCTGATAATAGCACTCCTGAGAGGCAGCAAGGTTTTTTTATCCAGACCACCCACAGAAAAGGAACTGAGAGTCTTATAGTACTGTCCCTCCCCAACACACACATACAACATAGTCTGCCATTTGGGAATCTTCTAATGTAAATGGTGACCTTGTGGCGCAATGGTAGCATGTCTGACTCCAGATCAGAAGGTTGTGTGTTCCAATGTAAATGATAATTAAGCAGCAGTAGTTTAAGGAGAAGGTTTGTTTTTATACCGTAAAATTGTAAAAGTGAAAAAAAAAATTGTAAAAGTGAATCAAGAGGTAAAAAACACTGGAATGTCACATTTCAAATGTTGTAGATACATATTTGTAGATACTCTTTTATGGAAATGAATCTCCTCAAAATAAAACTATGTAGAATTGTATATTTAAAATAATTTTTGAAAAACAATACACAACTATTAGGGGGCGGGGGATGACTGGAGCCCACCATACTTAGTGGTTTTTTTTTCCTTCATTAGACAGTTTCATATATCTTGGGAACACTGGTTGGAAACTCCCATTATAACTATGGAACAGATCTCCATGGTCGACTTGAAGCATAGAGAATTCAGGGCTTTCCTTCTGCCTGCTGCAAGTTAAGGGTTGAAGGAAGAACATCAGTAGAATAACTGGGTTTGAAAGATTAACTCCATGAATGAGGATAGTGTGGTTACCCTCATCCATATATGAATATCTATATATTTATAAATATAAATAAGCATATAAATAGATATGAACATATATAAATATATAGGCAATAGATTAGGGAATAACTTTCTAAATATATTTAAAGAAATACTTCTGTAAATGTAGTTTAATTCAGTCATCTTAATGTGGGTTTTGCTGTCTTTCCATGTTCATTTCTTTGTTCAAGGAAGGTTAAACAAGTGTTCTACCTCAGGAGGTTTGGAGGCCACATGCCCTGAAGACAATGGTTTTTCCAAGGTTTTATTATTATCTTTTTAAGACTGACTTACTTTTTATTTGAAAGGTAAATTTAAGAGAGAGAGAGATCTTCCATCCACTGGTTCACTCTCCAAATGGCTGCAGTGACTGGAGCTGAGTCAATCCAAAACTGGGAGCCAGAAGCTTCTTGCAGGTCTTCCACATGGGTGCAGAGGCCCAGGACTTGAAGCCTCTTCCACTGCCTTCCCAGGCCATAAGCAGGGAGCTGGATCAGAAGTGGAGCAGCCAGAACATGAACTGGCACGCATAAGGGATACTGGCACTTGCAGGAGGTAGCCTGTTCAGCCACTCATGCCAGCCCCATGAAGTTTTTTTAAAAGACAGCATTGTGGATAATGAAAAAGGGGTTTTAGTTTGAGGAGAAGCAGAAGTGGTAAGGGCCAAGGAGGCAGTAATTATGCAGGACTTTGGAAAGGGATGCAAAGCTGTGGATTTCTCATTCATGGAGCACCTTTCCCCCAGTAGCATCTCCAGGAATTGCTACTCAAAGAAGCTGAGCTGCAGGCGCAGGAGTTCCCAGTCTTTATGTGATTGCTGCATTCCCCTCTCCCCTGCCCCCACTGTTCCTCCATCCTTGGTTTCTGCTTCCTTCTGCTGTAATCTTTCCCATCAGTCTACAAATATGCTATTATTTCTCCCTCTCTTGGGCCCTTTGGCCATGGCTATATATTTTTACCTTTTACAGATTAACTCAAAATTTCCTCCCATTCTAAAGAAACCTGCCCTCTTTCTCTCCCCCACCCCATCAGTCTGCTAACATTCCACTCATGATCCCTGATGGTTTCATTTCATTGCTGCCACTCCATTGGCCAAGTTTTCTCTCCTCACTTGAACCTATGTACACTTTTCACTTGGCTTACTAACCATCCCACTTCCCTGGTGTTCCTCTTCACAGTTCAGAATTTAAGGTCTTCTCTGATGATTCCTGCTTGCCTGTCTACTCCTCAATATATGAGTGTCCCAGAGCTCAGCACCTGGACACTGCCTCTCTTCGATAGCATTACCCATCTCATAACCTTAAATGGCCTTGATACATGAACAATTCCAGATATACAGAGCCAGCAGCCTACTCAGCAGTTACATTTGGACATCTGCTAGGCATTTCAAACTTCAGTGTCCCACACTATACCTTCTGAGTACATACTTGTTCTGACCTCAGCTGACTACCTAGCTGATGGATGCTCCTGGAGACTTCACCTCAGGTGACAGCAACACCATCTTTTAAGAAGTTCAGTGCAGAAACACTGGATTCATCATGGCCTTTCCTCTTGCATCAAAGAGGAATGTTGTCTCTAGGTCCAAATGTCCAGAATTTGCTTAGAAATAATCCAGTGGTTGCAGAGTGAAGGGCAACATAAGAGATAGCACAGAAGGGGTTGGGAGGAAGAAAGGACAGAAAGTAGATAAAGCAATAGGTTGAAAGGAATGAACCTGAGGTTGTAACTACTAAGGTGCACACACATGTGTTGACTAGACTATTCTTGTGTGTTTATGTTTTCCATAACAAAAGGTTTAAAAATACATGCTTGAACCCAACCACGCCTCTCTACTCTAAGAAGGCTGTAGTCCTGACTGTAGTTACCATGGAGACTTTAACAGCTTCCTAATTGACCTCTCTACTTCTCAACACAGTATCAAGTGCTACTGTTAAAGCAGAAATCAGATCACATCACTCCTAAGTTCAAACCTCCTCACGACAATCTGTTTTACTCTTACCAGAAGCCAACATCAGCGGCCTTCTAGAACCTGCATAATCTGATTTCTTCTCTCTTCTGGCTTTGACTTCATATCCCACTACTCTCCCCCTTGTTCAACCTTCTTCAGCCATGTGGAAATCCTGACAGTTCCTTAAATTATCCAGCACTCTTTGTCCCCAGGCCTCTCCATTTACGGTTTTCTCTCACTAAGTATTATTCTCCTGAGTATCATAGATGCCTTCGTGTTCTTCCACCCTTCAGATGAAGGTCACTTTCTTAATGACCCTACCCTGACCACCCTATTCAAATGGTCAGATACTTACTGCCCAGAGTCCCTGTACTTCCTCCAGGCTACTTAGTCCCGTTGCCTTAATCTCTTCCCTTTTGCCATAGCAATATCACAGACTGGTAGCTGATAAAGAACAGAAGTTTATTTTGTCCATGCTTCTGGAGGCTGCACTGGCCTCTGCTCCACGTCGGGTGGGGGCTTTCCCACTGTGTCATAACATGGCAGAAGCCTCACATTGGGAGGCACAGCAAGCACTCCAGAGAGGTTTGCTTTATAATGAAGCCACTCTCCCAATAGCCCATTAAGCCATTAAGTCATGAATGAATTTATTCATTCACGAGGACAGAGCCCTCAGGAATCAATCCCTTCCCAAAGGTTCTACTTCTTATAACATTAGCACATGAATTTGGGATTTAATTTCCAGCACATGAAATATGGGAGACACATTCAAATTGTAGCAAGGTAATGTTCTGGCCTTTCCTTGTTTACTCACTGTCTTTCACCCAGTGTAAGCTACAGTGGGGCAAGTGTTTATGGAAGCTTGAATCCTGCAACAGCTGTAACATCACATGTGACTGGCCATGGTGAGTACTTTGTAATATTTGTCAAACTAAATAAATAGAAGAAAAACATTCCTCTAAGGACTTAAGCTAACACCACACTAATCATACCATATATTCATCATAGTAATTAAAAGTGGCTAAAATTCTCTAAAATAATTCCTCACATAATCCACACATATGCTCGTTATGAGACACACATAAAGTAAAGTGACAAAAAGCTTCTACTGTCATTCATGACAGACAAATCCTGGGTTTAACCTCCTATGGTAAACAGCCAGATTGCTGGCCAAGATATATGCAACAGTTTTCAGACACTGGACAGTGGCCAGTGCAGGACTTTGGTCCCTGAGAACAGGGAAGAAAATGAAGCAAGTGAGCAGCCCTAACATTGCTCCAACTTTCTGCCTAGAGATACTTCCCAGATTTCAGGAAGGGAAGCTTGCCCAGTGTGCGGATGTCTAGGTGAAGACATCAGAGGATGGAGACTGAGCCAACTGAGAGTTTCTGCACAAAGTCCTGGAAAGACAAGCCACCCAGGGGTGGGATTGGGTGGCTGGGAAAGGCTCTGGAAGTTGTCACAGAGTCTCCTTTGACTTCCTGGGCACTACACCTTGCCTACACCAGGTGAGATTTCCACGAAGTTGTGTATGCAAAGAATATCTGGTGAACTGTGTTAGCTCAGGGCTGACACACAGCCAAGAGAAGGGGAGGTTCAAAATAGGTAGTCAGTGATCCTTCCAGATCTGTGCCAGGAAGAACTTTTAAAAATAGTATAAGATGGCATCTAATTCATCAACAAGTTAACTTCTGGCTAAAAAGTGCAATGACACTTAAAAGATTCCATATTCCTAAAAATGTAACTTTCAAAATTAACCAAATATCAGTGTTCTGAATAAAATATCTGAAAATTGTCCGTCTAGAATTAGATCCCAGTAAGATACAAAAGAGAAGGCAAAAAAAGGGGGGGTTTGAAAACCAAATCTGAAAAGAAAAAAACTTAGCACCAAATCTTCACTGTAAGAAATATTACATGAAGTTCTTCAGCAGAAGGGAAATCATATGAGATGAAACTTAGATGTACATGAAGAAATCACAACTACTAGAAATGGTTATTAGGGTAGATTAAGAATGCATTTTTTTTCTCTTAGAACAATTTTTTAAAAAGGGAGAGACAGAGATCTTCTGTCCACTAGTTCATTCCCAAAAAAAGTCCATAACAGCTCTGGCTAGAAGTGGGGCTGGGCCAGGTGGAAGCCAGGAATCTGAAACTCCATCCAGTCTAGAGGCCCAGGTACTTGGGCCATTTTCCACTGCCTTCTAAGTTGCATTAGCAGGGATCTGGATTGGAAATGCAGCAGCTGGGACATGAACTTGTAC